AATAGAATCAGAGGTATGGAAGGGGAGTGGACTGACGATTCTCAGGGAAAAGGGGAGTGGGGGTGCAGGAAGAGACTGAACAAAACCTGTGCACCTATGGATGAGGACAATGGGGGATGGGGAAAGGACAGAGGGTGGGGTGGGAACCTGGTGAAGGGGAGCAATTGAGGGGGGGAAGAGGATCACATTTGTAATAATCTGAACAATTAAGATTTATTTAAAAAACAAAACAAAAACAAAAACACATATAATTCTGTTTTGATACAGATTTTCCTCTATTATGTAAGTAGTGGAAATAATTGAGAAATAATGTTTATGTCTACAAAAAGATGTGCATATAAATAATTATAGCTGCTTTATTTACAATAATCCAAAAGTGGAAAATGCCTAAACATCATCAACAAGTAAATGAATAAAAAAAGTCATGATTCATTCATAAAATGGGTTACTATTCAGCAATAAAAAGAAATAAATTACTGATGCATGTAGCAATAGGAATGAATTTCAAAAACTTGTGAAATAGGCAGCCAAACACAAATGAGAACATATTGTATGACTTCATTTTTTCTTTATTTTTTGAAAATCACTTTTTTAAGTCTTTTTTTCAATTTAATATTTCAAGTATTACAAATAGTAGTATATATGTCTCCTTTTTTTCCCATTGACCTTCCCCCAGCTTCCCCTACACCCTCCCCAAGAACATGCCTTCACACACACACACACACACACACACACACACACACACACACCCTGCCCCCAGTGTCTTGAGTCCATTGGTTATGCTTATATGCATGCATACAAGTCCTTCGGTTGATCTCTTACCTCCATCCCCTCAATCTTTCCCACCTTCCCACTGTAATTTGATAGTCTGTTCAATGCTTCTCTGCCTCTATCTTCTTGTTCATCAGGTTATAATGTTCTTTATTATCCATAAATGAGTAGTATTTTTATTTTACTGACTGGTTTATTTCACGTAGCATAATGTTCTCCAGTTCCAACCATGCTGCTGCAAATGGTAAGAATTTCTTCTTTTTTATAGCAGCATAGTATTCCATTGTGTAGATGTACCATAGTTTTTTGATCCAATCATTTGCTGACGGGCACCTAGGCTGTTTCCAAATCTTAGCTATTGTAATTTGTGCTGCGATGAATATAGGGGTGCATATATTCTTTCTTATTTGTGTTCCTGTTTTCTTGGGATATATTCCTAGAAGTGGTATTACTGGGTCAAATGGAAGTTCTGTTTTTAAATTTTTAAGGAAATGCAATATTGTTTTCTACAATGGCTATACCAGTCTGCATTCCCACCAGAAGTGCACAAGTGTTCCTTTTTCTCTACATCCTCTCCAGCATTCGTCATTTGTTGATTTGTTGATGATAGCCACTCTGACAGGTGTGAGATGATACCTCCTTGTTGTTTTGATTTGCATCTCTCAGATGATTAGTGACTTTGAGCATGTTTTCATGTGTCTATTGGCTTTTTGAATAAAGTAAAATAAAGAGAAAAGAAAATGAAACCTTTAAAATAAGGTAAAATGATAGTAGTAATAATAATGATTAAAAATAAAAATATAATAATTAAAAAGGTAAAATCAAGTGAGAAAAAATTTAAAAATTTTAGTTTCTTAAGTAAAAGATAAAAAATAAAAATGTGCAGTAGTGAAGGTTATTCACTTCCTCTACTGTTCTGTTTGGTATACCTGTTTCCTATCAGGTAGTCAAGACAGTATTGATGTTCCCTGTGTTCCACCGCTCCTCTGTCTTATAAGCCATAATCCTGTTTTCAAGCAGTCAGTATTTCTGTTTCTCAGCCTGCCTGTAGTTGTATTTACACAAGAGTCGATTTGTGATTTAACCCTTTGGTGGCAGTGTTTCTGTATTGACATCCTTGCCTATAGGTCCTCTCTGCCCAGTATTTAGATTTTGTTTTCCCTGCCACACTTAATACTGGTTTGGGGGAATGGACTGCAACAGAGCTGGTTTCTTGATCATTTCTCCCTGCTCTGATCCCCCGGTTCCACAAAAACAACTTTTCCCCATAATCTCTGAGTTTTTTTTTAATTGGGTAATCCCTATGTTCTGGGCATAGTAATCAAAAACAAGGATTTAAAGAGGAAAAAAAAGCCAGAGCAAGCATGCGAACTTGTGCCTTTTCCCCTGGCACAACACAGCCAGTATACTGGTAAAACTTCAGGCTGTCTTTTTGTGCTCAGCCCAGTTATGGGTTGATTTCTAGAGTTCCCTTCTGCCAGCAGCCCTGTGGATCCCCTTCCACATTCACGGACCCTGCTGGCCCCAATGGCCACAGATTTTGTGGGACACAGATTTCCTTTGAACCTCTAGATCCCACGCATCCGTTTCTCCCTCTAACCTGGATGGCAGACCTCACCTTTCCATGAGAAAGGTGCAGAGCTCATCTGAGTCTGCATTTTCACGCTGCTTGAGACCTGGTGTTCATGGGTTCCCAGCTGGTCTCTGGACATTATGATTGTTGGGTCTCTGTTTCTTCCCGGTTGAAGATAAGGCTAGATTTTCGATCACATCCACTCTTCCCTTCAAGGTAGCATGGTCTCTGCAGCAGAGCCAGTCCCTCTGGGAGCGATTTCAGCAGCAGTGGAGGCTGCCAGGTCAGGGGAACCCTGTCTGGCAGTTCCCAATAGTCCCTTGGAATATAGCTGTACCTCGCTCCTCATATGTCCACACGCTCTCCTTTCATTCTCTCACACACACACTGTCTTTCAGCCTGCCTTCCCATTGGCAGCCATCTTCAATCTCCATGACTTTATTTTTTTATATATATATTTTTTTATTGATTTTTTTACAGAGATGAAGAGAGAGGGATAGAGAGTTAGAAACATCCATGAGAGAGGAACATCGATCAGCTGCCTCCTGCACACCCCCTACCGGGGATGTGCCCGCAACCAATGTACATGATCTTGACCGGAATCGAACATGGGACTTTTCAGTCCACAGGCCGACACTCTATCCACTGAGCCAAACCAGTTTCGGCTCATTTTTAAAATGTATATTTAAGGACAGCTGAAACCGGTTTGGCTCAGGGGATAGAGCGTCGGTCTGCGGACTGAAAGGTCCCAGGTTCGATTCTGGTCAAGGGCATGTGCATTGGTTGCGGGCACATCCCCGGTAGGGGGTGTGCAAGAGGCAACTGGTCGATGTTTCTCTCTCATCGACGTTTCTAACTCTTTCTCCCTCTTCCTTCCTCTCTGTGAAAAGTCAATAAAATATATATATTTTTTTAAAATAAAATGTTATTTAAGGACAAACAAAAGAAATCTATTTTGATAAAAATAGGTATTACAATAGAGATTGCTACTGGGGTGAATGTGGAGATGTATACTTAAGGTTGGTTTGTATATTTTATGATATGTAAAGTACACCTCAATAAAATATGGTTAGCCAAAAAACAAAACTAAAAACTAAAAGAAAAAAATTATTGTATTAAAATTTAGTATAGTACTATTTTATTTAAGAAATGATTAGGAATCAATTTCTAGCATGACAGTGTGAGGAGCTCTGCTGACTCTGTAGACAAAAAAAAAGGGGGGGGGGACACACATACAGAAATGGAATTTTTCAACTAGAATACATGGTATTCCCCTGGGCAGACTGGTTCCCAGGGACCTAGGCTCTTGTTCAGTGGCGTCGAAGAATGAAAACCACTATGGAAGGTGGTATAGCAAAGGTGGAAATTTATTGAAGAACTATGATAGATTCTAACATGGAGAAGAGGAAAGAATCTCACAGCATAGACTCCCACGTGGTGAGGGAGAAAGAGTCCCACAGAACGGAATCCCATGTGGGGAGGGAGAAAAGTCCCACTGAGTTCCTTTCCCCTAGGACTAAGGCTTATAAAGCCTGCCGATCTTGGTGCCTTGATACTTCCTCTAATTGGTCACTATTTCCTTGGACTGGTTACTATAGTAACTTCTCAGCTCAAAGGTTGAACCTCACATGGGACGTGTGAAGTTTTCCTCCCCTCCTTCCTTATTGTTTTCCTATTCACTTTGCAGTTTCCTCTTCCCCTTCTGAAAGAAGGACTTCCTTTTATTTTGTAAAGATAGACCTTTGGCTGTTTCCAGCCCCCTCATTCTATGGAAATTTACCTGTTGCAGCATTTCAGCTTCCCTATTCTATGAACCTTCTGCTGCTCTGCAGCCCTGTGCATCTTCCGCGGTCCTCTTAATTTCTAAAATTTCCTAAATCTGTCTTTTTCATCCTCCAAAATTACTATTTCTATCTAAACCTGACAAACTCACAGGGGTACTACGTGGTGGCCTTCCAAAGTTAGAGACCTAAAGTAACCACATAGGATGCTCTGAAATTAAAGCTTCCTAACCAAAAGCTAGTCATGGTGGGTAGCCATATGGTAGCCCAGTACCTTCCTTAACAAAGGCCAGTGATTACTATAGTGAGCCTGTCTATTGTCTTTTGCATCTACTATAGCAAACCTTTGCAATGTCTGAGTAATCCCCTTTTTCCAGACCCCTCATGGCACAATCTCCCACTAGAGCTCCTGACCAGGAACCCTCATTGTTAGTTTGTTGCCCAAATACCATCTTTGTGATTCATAAATGTTAATTATTAACTATCCTGTACCCATTAATGTAAAAGAAGTATGTGTCTATCCGGTTTACTCTTTATCCAATCTCAGAGATTTTCCTACTTTGCTTTCTCCTGCCTCCCTAATCTACCACTAGTGGATTTCATGTAAACCTCCTCCCCCCCCACCCCCCCCGCCTTACTTCTTTTCCTTTTACTATAATGTACAAAATGAAGTGCAAAAGTGATATCCTCTGGAACATTTTTCATTTCATTGAGATTTTGTCCCCCAGAAATTGTTGTCAGTTTAGCTCAAATAAACTCATAAAAGTTCTGTACAGGTTTGTGCATTTTTTATATCAACACTTCCATCTCAATAACACTGGTGAAGATTATTTTTAAAAGAACAAAATATTTATAAATGTAAGGAACATTCAAACCTATGCCAGTGTCTTCTCATCCTTGAAAAGTCTTAGATCTCCCCTGTAGACAAAGGCAAGTTTTGGAGGCAGGAGTAGATGTCCATTCACAGTCAGGTGCCTTTTTCTTTTTTTTCTTCTTTTTTTTAATATATTTTATTGATTTTTCACAGAGAGGAAGAGAGGGATTGAGAGTTAGAAATATCAATGAGAGAAAAACATTGATCGGCTGCCTCCTACACATCCCCAGTGCAGGTACATGCCCTTGACCAGAATCAAACCTGGGACCCTTGGTACATGCCCTTGACTGGAACCAAAGGTACATGCCCTTGACTGGAATCAAACCTGGGACCCTTCAGTCCGCAGGCCAACACTCTATCCACTGAGCCAAACCGGTTTTGGCTCAGATGCTTTTTTTTTAATGAGAAAAGTGAATCCATGTGTTAACTACGTTGAGTTTGGCTGCTCATGGGTTAGTTAGTAATAGTTGGTAAGGTCCCCTCCAATCGTTCAAATCTCCTGGTTATAAGCCAGGATCTTTGAAATATTTGTCTCCCAGGAGTGCACTGTGAAATAAATTGGTTACTAATTGATCAATTTCCTTAAGCTGGCTAATAAGCTGTTGTCAATAATGTAGAATGTCTGCTTTTCAGAAGGAAAATAGGTGGGCAACTTTGGGGGCTTATAGCCTAGTTCAGTATCTAGTTAAACAGTAACCTTACTTCCCCATTCTAACTGACTTCGGAAGAGCTACAAAGCCCACCCCGAGGGGCCCACCACAAGAAGACATATATATCAAAGCCTGCCCACGTTGGCAGTTCAGGTTTTGGATCAGAGTCCCCTTGGACTAGCAGCACTGCATAATAAAGGTTTACTTTCCTGATTCCTCTGGGTGCTGGCTGTCATTTCCTGGGCCATTTGCCACAACACTTTTTAGCAAAGATAGTTCATTTGCTATTTCATCCAGATACATAGGGTGGCCAGTGACTGTTTCATAAAAAGTTTATGTTTACCAAAAGGAGATCTCAGGTTGAGGAGTCCTATAGGGAGAGCTTTCATCCAAAGGAGATAAAAGCTTTTGAAATCTCAGCTAGCTGAATATTTATTATACCATTGGTACATTTCACCAATCCAGAGGCCTGGGAGTGATAAAAATGCTGTAGAACATGCCAAATGTTACAGATAGATTTTATTTGCCCAGTGAAATGGGTACATGGGTCACTATGCAATTTAGAGGGAATTCCCCAATTGGAAATTATTTTTTCTAATAACAATTTACCAACTATTAAGGCAAGGGAATGCTTCAACCCAGTGAGAAAACATACAACTCATAACTGATATATATTTGTATCCCTGAAAAGGTGGTATTTGGTTTAAGTCCAATTGCCTTATCTCAAAAGGACCTAAAGAAAGTGGAAAATGTCCTTGGGACACATGAAGTGGTTTTCATTGGTTATATTTTGAACAGATAGGACATTTACTGTACACTTTATGAGCAACAGTAGGAGGATATTTCCAACAATATTGTTGACTCCATGAAATTATATTTTCAGGAACCCAATGTGTTAGCTCGTGCACATTTTGAAGTACAGGGAGTTGGGCCCCTATAAGTAAAATAGGTTTCTGATTGGGTTCAAGTCATATCTGTTTCTTTAGGTCAAAGGTTTTCCCCTTTTGTTGCCATATCCTCTTTTCTTCCCCATAGCTGTCTGTTGAAACTGCAAAATATAATATTTTATAGTTGACAGAAAGCAAAGAACATTCTCCAATATGGATAACTTGATGTTCAATGCCATCTGCCTAACTGCACTGTTGGCAAAACGATTTCCTTTTGCTTCCATAGTGGTACCTTTAGAATGTCCTGGAATTTCAATAATTGCCAATTGTTTTGGTTGCTTTATAGCATTTAATAATTCTGCTACCAGTTTTCCATTTTTTATGGATTGCCCTGAGGATGTAAAAAAGCCCACTGCTTCCATAACATTCCAAAGTTATAAGCTATATCAAATGCTTAGCGACTATCAGTGTATTATTGGCTACTTGATCTTTGGCCAATTGACACAGCAATTAGTTCAGCTTGCTGGAAAGATTTTATTTCAGGTAGATAAGAACTTTTAATTGTGTCCACCATGGAAGTTTTTGCATATCTAATTCAGTAATGTTCCTGTTCATCTTTTAGAAGATCCGTCTGTAAACTGAATTAAGTCATCCTTATCAATAGCAATTTCCTGTAAATCATCCCTAGGAACAAGAAGGTGGTCAGTAAGCAAAACATAATTGTGGTTATCTTCATCCTATAAAGTGGGTAACAAAGTTTCAGGGTTAAGATGATTACCCTGAGTTAAAGTAATATTACATGCAGAAAGCAGGAGCACTTCATAAGCAATTGAATGACAGAGAAATGTTGATTGTGATGAGATCTGGTGCACAGCCAATGCATTGCAGTTTCTAAAGAGAGTTGCAGTCAAGGACTCAAGCAAGCTCCCTTTCTATCCCTGCTCTTGTTATATACATCTGCATCCCTATTCCAGCATCTCCTTTTGGAGATCTCCTTATCAGGGACCCTGAAAGACACCTTTTTTACTCTGCCACAGTATTCAGTATTTTCCCATTCCTGGCCCTCCTTCTTCTTTTCTCTCTATTTTGACCCTACAGACTATAACTCTGTAGGAACCTTTTGTTTGGTGATCCCTCAACAATGAGTCAACCTCACCCTCACACTATTCCATGGTGGAAATTGAAATGGAGGGAGTTGACACTTTCTCTGGTTTTAGCCTCTTCCTTGTACTATTGTAGTAACTGATTAAAGACTTGACTGTTATTTTCATTTTGGCTGATTTTTAATCAGTTACTCCAACAGATGAAAACTCAGTTAGTTCTCTCCAGTTCAGTTGAGATTCTGACAGAGAGAAGCATGTGGATTCCAAGATATTTAAAAAATAGAGTTGATGGGCTTGGCTATTGATTTGCATCAGGGTGGGATGGGTAGAGGACAGTTAGAGAAGATAAAATGACAAGGAAGCTAGCTGCCTAGGGTTTCTTTTTTGTTCAACTGAGTAGATGATGTTTCGACTCACTGGAACACGAAACAGGGAACAGGAGCAAAGCAGAAAGGAAATATTTCCAGTAGGGTCTGTGATCATGTTCAGTAAATAGTTGGATATGTAAAAAGATATTTAGGGGAGAGATCTAGATTATAATATAGATTTAAGAGCCATTGATTTATAAAAAGTAATTGTAGCTATGAACATGAATAAAATGGCCCTGGGAGAATATATAGAAGGAGAAGAAAAGATGGCCTGGGACTAAAGCCCACCATGACCTCTTCTTACAGCTAACCTCTTGGGGTTTTATAGATAGTTCTCTAATGATGTGTTTTTATATGATTCTATCAAAGCCCTTCTGACTTAGTGATTAAAGTAGAGATAGCAGGTTTTAATGGAGAGCCAACATTTAGAGTCAGCCCCATCATCCCTCTTCTCTGGCCTCCACATCCCCCACCCCTACCTCCACAAGCTGGAGGATGATAGACTCAACTAAACACCTTACTCAAGGAGGAGGCATTGTGCCTCTGAAATACTGCAGAATAATTTCTTGATTCTTTAAAAAAAAATTTTTTTTTTTTTAATTGGCAAATTGAACTGGGCAGAAGGTTAAATTCCTAAGCATCCAGAACCCTGGGAAAGGGAGTGTTGCTGTGTATAACTTCAACCAGAAATGATGATATTAAAGCATTCTTATAAAGATAGGATTTCCTGATTATTTAGTTTGTTTATATTGTTAAATTCCATTTGTTTGTTTGTTTGTTTGTTTAAAATTCACTTTTGAAACAAAAAACTGGCAATCTCTTTTCTACTTTCTGTGTCCTCAGAAGGCAGCACAGACCCCAAAGCTCTATGAAAAGAACACAGGTGTTGAAATTAGGCAGTCTTGGGCTCAAATGTGAGCTGCATTAACCAGATATATAACTCAGATCAACCACTTAACTTCAGTGAGCATTAATTTTCTATCTGTGCATTGAGAACTTCATTAGCATCCTGATATCAAATAAATAAAATAATATGAATAAAGCCCAAAGTACATAATAGGTGCACAATAAATGGCAGCCAAAATGATATTAGAATATTATTTAGCAATATAAAAAATGAAATATGGATATGTGCTATAACATGGATGAACCTTGAAAACAATAAGTTAAGTGAAAGAAACAAGACATAAAAGACCAAGTATGAGTGATCTTTTGTGTGAGTCCATTTATATGAAAAGTCCAGATTAGAAAACTCCATGGAGACAAAAAGTAAGTTAATGGTTGCTAAGGTCTGGGATAGGATTTAGAAAGAAATGAGGAATGACTTCTAATGGTTACAGGGTTTCATTTGGTGTCATAAAAATATTCTAAAATTATGTGGTGATAGTCCCACAACTCTGTAAATACATTATAAATCATTGATTTGTATATGTATAAATGGGGGAATTATATGCATTTGAATTATATTTCAATAAAGTTATTTTATTTCTAAATACTAGAGGCTGGGTACATGAAAATCCATGCACTGAAGGGGATGATCCCTCAGCCCAACCTGCCTCCTCTCACAGTCCGGGAGCCCTCAGAGGTGGGAGGTGACCCGGCAATCAGAGGAAGGCAACACCCATCACACCTCTGCTGCTGCCACTGCTGACAGCGCAAGCCTCGGCCGGCCCTGGTTACCTGAGCCTCAGGTGGCCCTGTGTGGCTGGGAAACCACCATCTGAGGCTTGTCTGTGCCTTAGGCCAGCCCTGGGTGGCTGGACAGCCACTATCAGAGGCTTGCCTATGCCTCGGGCTGCCCTGGGCAGCTGTGGGGTTGAGGGGCCTGGGTGACTCTGAAGGCAGGCGCGAGGAGCAGCCAGGCCTGCCTGGGGCAGCCTGGCCTTGCCACACCTGCAACCCCAGTGGGGCTGAGGGGACTGGGCACCGCCATCTTTGAAGGTGTAGCAGTCAATTAGCATATTCCCTCTTTATTGGCTGTGGGCCTCACCAAATTTGAGGGCAAAGCAGTCAATTAGCATATTCCCACCATCTTTGCAACAGCATGA